ACAAAATTGTGTTGCAAGTTGCAGCAAAATTTGTCCCATGACATGGCCTTAAAGACCTTAAATATTAAAGCATGGCACAGCACATTCTATTTCAATCCACCAGCTAATTGCACTTACACCCCTAGAAGGAAAAAGGCTACTTACACATTAAAAATCTCACAACTTGTGCTTTCTCAGAGAGTCTATTCACACTGTTAAGTACCACACTGATTCAATTGAGACTTATAATTAAATAAGTGGAGCATATGTAGATATCAAACCAAATATCTTAGAAGATATGTCTTCGTCCCATATGCCATATGTTAGTAATAAGTCTGATTCTGTCTCTATATACTCAATTCCTTCCATCATCTTGTCTACAACATCCACTTCAATGGAAGGGATAGAAAGCATTTCAGATTTTACTTGGTTCTTATTTAAAACTTCACAAATTTTTTCTTCCAAGATGGCCCTGTTAGTAATTGCAAGCATTCTAAACTTTTTGGTAGGTTTCTGGTCTTCATTCACATCGCTGAAAACTTTGCCACTAACACCCTCACATACAGAACAACATTTTTCTTGTGTCACTTTGGAGAATCCTAAATATTGCAAAATTTGCTGTCGAAGACATATCTGTTGCGATTGACAGTAAGTTTTCATTTCATCCTGGACATGTTTCTTATTATTTGCAATGTCAGAGTTATTGTAATACAGAATTGCTTTGGATAACAGTCCTGTTCTGCCAGCACGCCCAATTTCCTGCACATAAGATTCAACTGTAGCAGGAGGTGTGATGTGTATGATTCTGGTAACATAAGGTGCATCAACACCCATACCAAGAGCTGAGGTGGAAAATATCACTCTTATTCTTGAGTTTTTTGTCTTTTAATATTCCCTCAAATAACCGATACGCATAGCCACAATATTTCAGTTTCAAGTAGACAATTGTCATTGGGTAGTTTTCTCTTTGTATAGCCAGGTTGTTTGCAATGGGTACAAGGATCTGGTCATAACTTCCATATGAGTGATGGTTACTCAATCGTAATTTTTTTTCAAGGTATATATTGGCTCGATTGGGGTTTGCAGAGACAATTTTGCAGTCACTTTTTAAAGACAAACTCTGTTTCAGTCTTTTCAACATGGTAGGTGGAGCAGTTACTGTGAGGGCAATAAATGGCACTTTGGGGAAAAATGCTTTCAGAGTTGATAAATCTCTGTAGTCCTTTCTGAAGTTTTCACCCCTTAAAATAGATTAAATACTAGCATTCACTCAATGTACAAGAATAAACTGCAAATTAGTGACTACTTTAGTAATCAATTATATAAAATCATGCAATAAAGGTATCAAGGTATAGATGGGTAAACCTTCGTGTAACAGGGCCGTAGCAACCGGGGGGGCTAGGGGGGCTGCAGCCCCCCCCCCCCAATAATTTGCTAATAATCATCCTTTTTTCAAAATCATGCAGACCTTTATCATTTAATCTGTGACAAACTGCAAAGAATGAAGGTATAACCCACACTTTCCTGCAACTTATTCAATATATCGTTAATTAAATACGCCTTTGAGCATTTAGTACTACTAAATTGTAAATTTCGACATACTAAAACGCAGTTTCTGACTATCGGAATTCTGTAAAATCTTCCCCAAAATCCAGGAAATGGCATTTCAGAGACTCTAAATTTAAAAATTTCCTCGGGCCTTCGGCCCTCGCTTTCAGCCCCCCCCCTCCAATCGAAAGGAGCTTCCTACGGCCCTGTGTAGTAATTTCAAAGTGACAACCGGCACCCAGCTGGCTGCCGGTTGTCACTTTGAAATTGTTACACAGGGTTAGTACACGATTTAGTAAAACTGCCGGCCATTTTACAGTTGAGATTTGATTTGGTTTAATATATATCCGGCTGCCTGCTGTTTAGTATCAATCACAGTGTATTTATTTTATTCAATTAGCCTGCTAGGAATGTGCGAACATGCCTTTTAATTAAAGCTATTAAATACACATGTAAACAATGGTTTAAATGCATCAGTCAAATCCAAGCATGCCCATTCCCCCGGGCCACCGTGGGGCATTTTCCTGTAAAGCACATCACACCATGCCGCAAACTTTAAAAATAAATGTGCTAGCAACACGCGTTAGAGTATGATGCACAATACTTGGTAGCCTGCGTTTGCAGGCGAAATACATAGGCGATATATTTAGATCAGAGGGCATTCGCTCAAAACGCTGAAGAAAGCATTCTCTTTATTTTCAGGTAGTTGGATAATCTACTATTTTTAGCCAAATAGTCCAGTTGGCCCCGGGGTGGGGGATTTGCTACTGATTTGTTTGCCCCGCTGCGGGGCATTTTCACATGTTTTTTATCCCACCCCTGGGAATTTGTCGCATATTTTCAAAAATTGTCAAAAGCCAGAGGTTAGCCCGGGGGGGAGGGCACGATTGGATTTGACTGATGCATTATATCCATATACTGATATTAACTCTATTACTATAACCATCTACACACATAAAAATCTCACATCTTGTAACAAGTCTGCCAACAAGCCGTCAACAAGATGTATTCGCACTGCTTGTCACAAGTTGTCAACAGGTTTGGAACAACTTTTTGACAACTTGTAACAAACTTGTCGAAATTATCAGACTTGTTGCAAGGTTGTTCTGACAAGTCTGTTACATGCTTGATATGACAAGATTGTTACAACCTTGTTTTGACAACCTTGTAACATCCTTGTTATATCATAGCTGTAACAAACTTGTTAGCACAGTCTTGTAACAAGGCTGATAATGCCATCAAGCTTGTTACAAGTTGTTAACAGCTTGTTTCAAACTTGTTACAACAAGCTGGGAACAAGCAATACTAACACAACTTGTTGACAGCTAGTGAACAGACTTGTAACAGCTTGTTTGCAGACTTGTTACAACTTGTACGTTTTTACGTGTGTATATTAAGTCCATCATATTAATTAAACACTAATACTACTAAAATAGTCAGGTATATAGTCAACATGAGACTTACCATATTTCAACGCAGTGGGCTTCGTCTACAGCACATGCAACTACATTTTTCTGAAACTTTTCACTGCTCATCAGGTCTCGCCCTTCTTTACCAAGGAATGCCTCTGGATGTGCGAATACAATTTCAACATTGTCATTTATGTCAAACACACTCGTGGTTGCACTCATGGAACAATATGAATGCGTGTTATCGGCTAAGCCTATAGTTTTAGATTTTTCGCCGTCGAACAAACTCTCATACTCATCACTAGGAATCCGAAACACATCTGCCGTTATTCCGCTATCCTCCAAGATTTTAAGTTGGTCCTCTATTATAGAATTTAATGGACACACTACAATTACAATGTTTTTGTCGGTTTTAACAGGAAAGAATTTTGGAAGAAGCTGGAACAGTATCGACTTCCCAAAACCAGTAGGAAAAACGGCAACAACATCATCACCACGTAACAAATACTCAAAACATTTCACCTGGAGCGGTTTTAAACAATGCGACGGGAAATTACAGCTATTCAAAGCGATCTGAAGTCGATGAAGTACATTTAAAAATCCGCCAGTACAATGCGCCATCTTTGTTTGTTTTATTATATTTATGTTACGGTTTAATTCATTATAATTTATTACACCCACTATATCTGGGTGTTGAAAGTCATGTGACCGGCCGGTGCCAGGGCCTTTTCCCGCCTTCCCAGTGACAAAAAGGGAAAAGCCCTGGGAACGAGGTTGAGAGCAAGTGAGCTTGTCGTCGAGCTCACCTGCTTTTTGTCGAACTCACCTGCTTTTCGCCTGAACTCACCCGCTAAACTGCTTACGTTGCAATAACAATAACAAATATGGCGGACAAGATTTAGCCGATAAACCTAAACTTTAAAGAACTTTTCTCGGTGACTAACATACTGGGACTGAAGAAAAACCAAAGAAAAAATGCAGTAAAGGTAATGTAGACGTAGATAAAGAAGTATTTTCTTGCCGGGAAAATGTTCACAAAACATCGACGAATATATCGCGAAGAGCTACAAATGTGTGTATGGCTCGGTGTATGGGATAAAAACCAAACGTACTTGCAGGTTCGGTGAGTCCGGGATTGGACGCACCTCCCTGCAAGTACGTTTGTTATAGAATTTTACCTTAAATTGAAGCTTATATTACGTATAAAATAACATATCTAACATATATATGTTTGGGAAATTGATAATTAAAGGTGATAGTTTTAGGGGATTTTTCATTTGTAAAAATATTCTTAACAAAATTATCGTGTTACCATGACAACTACTTTAAATACTTCATGTTCGGAAAATACAATGGTTTTGTCAGCAAGGCGAGGGGTTTCTGCATAGTTACCCTAAAGCATAGTTAACTTTAACTACTTTTTAATTGCAGTTAAGGCTAACTACTGTATACTTTTACACAACCGGCTTAACTACGGATTAAAGTTAACTACTATTTAACTACTTTTTAAGAATAACTGCAGTTAGCGCTAACTACTTTTTTATACAACTGACCCCTGAACTGCCTTTTATCGATATTACGATAAACTTTGAGTTTGAAATAAAATGAATTGATTTCAAATTCTCGCATGCAAATAACTTTGCTTTCCTCCTTAATTAAATAATTTAATATAATAGAAAAGGGTAATAATCAGTAAATGTACGCTGAAATTGTATGCTATATTTTTCATTATACGCAAAAATCAGTTTTTAAAGCAATTATAAAGCAAACATTACTGTAATAACATCACTATTTAAAACAAACTTACCTTTATTAACATCGGCGGCTTTGCTTCCTCCTTTTAGCAAGTCTTTCGGATTTTTTTCTCAAAAGCTCTTGAAATTTCCAAATTCTTGCAAAATGAAATATATTTGCACGAAATGTTTGCAAATTCGCTGTCGTTATGCAGTCGTTATAATGCAAATTTTAAATTTGACCAGTCAGTGTTCGCTATTCATGACAGTCCGCTATATTTTGAGATCAGTGCGGATGACCACCCATGAACAGTAACCCATATAGCCATGCGTCCACGCTTATTGATGAAATTTAGAATTCGCTAATGCTCTGCATTACCCGAGGGTAAATTGGCTAGCTGTTTCTTACTAGCCGGCCCTTAAAAAAACTGTCCGTAGTTCCTTGCAATACATCAGACACCGATTCTTTAGGTATGTAACAAACTTAAACTCTTCTTAATTGTGCGTTCCATAATTAACGCTTCACAACTATAGCGCATTTTGAAACATACTTCTTAAATAATCTCGCAACACACCAGGGCCGTACGCAAAATTTTCAGGATTCTCAACCATGATAGGAAATGTTGTAGTTTAGATATATAAGCCGGGATTTCACCGGGGTGTTTGGAAACCCAGGAACTATAGGAACTTCAGGAACAACATAGATCATAATAATTTTTCTGTGTTGGTGTTATGTATGTATGTAATGTATGTAAAACTTTATTTCAATACGCTAACTTCGACAATTATTTACAACTGGTTTCCACGAAGGGCGTATACACACAAAGAGCTAAATGTTAATTATATATAGAACAAAATATGTAAGAATCCCACCCTAAAATTTTATCATCTTCCTCCCAAACCTCCACCCCCTAAACAAGTACCCACCCACCCTCACGCAAAACTAACCCCCTCCCGCCCACAATCTATATTGTCCTCCCATCATTTGGTCCTGGAGAAATTAGCTTATCATCTGCTTAAATGCAATTTCGCCATTGTTTTAAATGACGTAATTGACTCAGCCGCCTTGACATCTTGCGGGAGACTATTCCATAGAAGTGCTCCACTGTATCCAAATGTTTTCTTTAGAAATTCCGTTTTCGATTTTTTTTAACGAGAGATCAGTTTCGCTATTGCGTAAATCATAAATATTCTGCGATGCATTTCTCCGAGAAAAAAGATCTTTAAGGTTTGGCGTAGTGTGGTTCCCCAAGACTTTATACATCAATACTAGCTTGTTTTGTTCTCGTCTCCTAGCCAGGGTTTCCCAGCCTAATTTGTTTAGGACTTCAGACGATCTTACATCGTAGTCAGCTCCGGTAATCACCCTTGCAACCTCGCAAGCCAGGGTCTTTTACCTGCGCTCGGGCTCCGGCGAAGACCCTGGTTCCCTCTGGTCACGTGAACCCCCAGATTTTAGGGGTAATTCGAATTGCCGCCTCTTTGCCATTTAGGGAGGAGTGGTAGGGGGAATTCAAGAGTGAAAACAAAAACATCTATAACTATGCCTATGGAAAATATGGCCATTTACGCTCTCTATTAAACCCATATTTTGGGTTTTGTCGGTTTTTGTGTTATCTTTTATGAAATATGTCACCGCTTGGCGCTTGAAAGCTTTTTACACCTACTTGATATAATTTGCCTGGCTGGAGGTCTGTTTTACACCTTGAAGTGGAGCCATTATTTCAATCAATCAATCAATCAATCAAAATATTTAATCAAGGTACCTACGATCTATTTACAGGAGGTAGGTCCTTGCAGGAGGATCGGAAGGTTAACCCTATATAAGAACCCCCTTAGAAAGGATTAGTAGATAAAAAGTGTTAATAGTATGTACATTAATGAGTGTATATTAGTAAACTAAGATAGACATATTAGTAAATTAGTAAATTAGCAAATTAATAAATATTCATGTGGTGCTTGAGTTCCTGCTTAAAACTATGAAAACTACTTGCTTCGACGACGTTCAGAGGCAAAGCGTTCCATGCAGTGACTATTCTGACAAAAAAAGAATACTTATAAGAGTTAACTCTAAAAAGCTTGGTATATAGTGTATATTTGTGATTTGATCTGGTTTTCCTCGATTTCTTATATTCAAAAACTTCATCGAAGTTTATACCATTTAGGCCAAAAACTGTTTTATAGCACTCTATGAGAGATAAGTACTCTCTGCGTTTTTCCAAAGTATTCCATTTTAGTAAGACACAACGATCTGGGTAGGACATCTCTCCCCGCTTCTGTTTAAGTGCTATCCGCGATGCTCTTCTCTGAACGGATTCGAGAGCCTTGATATCCTTGGATAAGTGTGGCGACCAGACAGGTGCGGAATATTCCAGTACAGGTCTAACCAAAGCTTTGTACAATAAGGTGAATGTTGCTAAGTTTGATGATCCAACGGTTCGCTTAACCAGACCTAGCATTCGGTTTGCTTTACTAGTAATATTATGAACATGAGATGACCAAGCTAGGTTATGTGTCATCATAATACCTAGGTCTTTAAATTCGTCTGTTACTTCAAGTTTCTTATGTGACAGATAGTATTCGGGTAGAGAGAGGTCTTTTGAGTGGGTTATTCGCATTACTTCGCATTTCTCAAAGTTGAAGTTTAGTTGCCAATTTTCAGTCCAGTTTCTCATACGGTCTAAATCAGATTGTAAAATACTAGTATCGGCAACTTTGTCTACTAATTTTCGGTAAATTTTTGTGTCATCTGCGAAGAGCTTAATCGAGCTTTGGATTTCCGAGGGTAGGTCGTTTATATAAATAAGGAACAATATTGGACCTAAGATTGTTCCCTGGGGTACCCCTGATTTAACTGGGGACCAGTTTGACTGCGAGCCACGTACGATAACACGTTGATAGCGGTCCGTGAGAAAGTATCTAAACCAATCGAGCAGTGCTCCACCGATACCGTGTTGTTTCAATTTGTATAGTAAGCGCTCGTGTGGCACACTGTCAAAAGCTTTACAAAAGTCCATAATTACAACATCAGTGGGAGTAGCTTCGTCTCTAGATTTAGCCCAGTCATTGAAACATAGAAGTAGTTGGGATAGTGTAGATTTATTTATGAGCCACGCCTACTTCTGCATCACTAGACTTGTCCGTGGAGAGAAATGGCAGGTTTTTCCACCTGCGTAATCGAAAAAAACGTAAAAGTTAATATTATGCTGTTTCAAAACTTCCGTTCTATTAAATTTCATGGTCCCTGTAGCAAAAACGTGAATTTATCACGGTCTGAAAATCGTATTTTTGGAATCTATTGTCAAAAGGCTTTTCGTTGATGCCACGTTCTTGCATAACTACACAGTATGTGGACATAAAAAGCAAGTTTTTCCAGCTGCATGTGTAATCGAAAAAAACGTGAAAGTTAATATTAGGCGCATTCGAATCTTATGTTCAATTGAATTTCAAGGCTCCTACAGCGAAAACTAGAATTTGCCACGGTCTGAAAATTATATTTTAGGAATCTACAGTCAATAGGCTTTCTGCTGATGCCTCGTTCTTGCATAACTAGACAGTCTGTGGACATAAAAAGAAAGTTTTTTCAACTGCATGTGTAATCGAAAAAGATGTGAAAGTTAATATTATGCGTTTTGGAATCTAATGTTCGATTGAATTTCAAGGCTCCTATAGCAAAAACTAGAATTTGGCACGGTCTGAAAAGTATATTTTTGGAATCTACGGTCAATAGGCTTTCTGCTGATGCCTCGTTCTTGCATAACCAGACAGTCTGTGGACATAAAAAGCAAGTTTTTTCGACTGCATGTGTAATCGAAAAAGACGTGAAAGTTAATATTATGCGTTTTGGAATCTTATGTTCAATTGAATTTCAAGGCTCCTATAGCAAAAACTAGAATTTGGCACGGTCTAAAAAGTATATTTTTGGAATCTACGGTCAATAGGCTTTTTGCTGATGCCTCGTTCTTGCATAACTAGACAGTCCGTGGACATAAAAAGAAAGTTTTTTCACGTGCATATGTAATCGAAAAAGACGTGAAAGTTAATATTATGCGCTTTCGAATCTTATGTTCAATTGAATTTCAAGGCTCCTATAGCAAAAACTAGAATTTGGCACGGACTGAAAATTATATTCTTGGAATCTACGGTCAACAGGCTTTCTGCTGATGCCTCGTTCTTGCATAACTAGACAGTCGCTGGACATAAAATGAAAGTTTTTTCACATGCATATGTAATCGAAAAAGACGTGAAAATTAATATTATGCGTTTTGGAATCTTATGTTCCATTGAATTTCAAGGCTCCTATAGCAAAACTAGAAATTGGCCCGCTCTGAAAAGTATAGTTTTGGAATCTACGGTCAATAGGCTTTCTGCTGATGCCTCGTTCTTGCATAACTAGACAGTTCGTGGACATAAGAAGCAACTTTTTTACCTGCATGTGTAATCGAAAAAGACGTGAAAGTTAATATTGTGCGCTTTCGAATCTTATGTTCAATTGAATTTCAAGGCTCCTATAGCAAAAACTAGAATATGGCACGGTCAGAAATATATATTTTTGGAATCTACGGTCAACAGGATTTCTGCTGATGCCTCGTTCTTGCATAACTAGACAGTCTGTGGACATAAAAAGCAAGTTTTTCACCTGCATGTGTAATCGAAAAAGACGTGAAAGTTAATATTATGAGCTTTCGAATCTTATGTTCTATTGAATTCCAAGGCTCCTGTAGTACAGACTTGAATTTGGGCTAGTCTGAGAATTGTATTTTTAGAATCTACCAGTAATAGGCCTTCTCTCGATGCCTTACTTGTGCATCACTAGACTTGTCCGTGGAGATGAATGGCAGGTTTTTCCAACTGTGTAATCGAAAAAAACGTGAAAGTTAATATTATGCGCTTTAGAACCTTATCTTCTATTGAATTTCAAGGATCCTGTAGCAAAAACTAGAATATGGCACGGTCTGAAAATTATATTCTTGAAATCTACGGTCAACAGGCTTTCTGCTGATGCCTCGTTCTTGCATAACTAGACAGTTCGTGGACATAAAGAGCAAGTTTTTTCACCTGCATGTGTAATCGAAAAAGACGTGAAAGTTAATATTATACGTTTTCGAATCTTATCTTCTATTGAATTTCAAGGCCCCAGTAGCAAAAACTAGAATTTGGCACGGTCTGAAAAGTATATTTGTGGAATCTACGGTCAATAGGCTTTCTGCTGATGCCTTGTTCTTGGATAACTAGACAGCTCGTGGACATAAAAAGCAACTTTTTCACCTCCATGTGTAATCCGAAAAAGACGTCAAAGTTAATATTGTGCGCTTTCGAATCTTATGTTCAATTGAATTTCAAGGCTCCTATAGCAAAAACTAGAATATGGCACGGTCTGAAAATTATATTTTCGGAATCGACGGTCAACAGGATTTCTGCTGATGCCTCGTTCTTTCATAACTAGACAGTCTGTGGACATAAAAAGCAAGTTTTTCACCCGCATGTGTAATCGAAAAAGACGTGAAAGTTAATATTATGCGCTTTCGAATCTTATGTTCTCTTGAATTCCAAGGCTCCTGTAGCAGAGACTTGAATTTGAGCTAGTCTGAAAATTCTATTTTTAGAATCTATCAGCAATAGGCTTTCTCTCGATGCCTTACTTGTGCATCAGTAGACTTGTCCGTGGAGATGAATGGCAGGTTTTTCCAACTGTATAATCGAAAAAAACGTGAAAGTTAATATTATGCAATTTCGAACCTTATCTTTTATTGAATTTCAGGAATCCTGTAGCAAAAACTAGAATATGGCATGGTCTGAAAATTATATTTTTGGAATCTACTGTGAACAGGATTTCTGCTGATGCCTCATTCTTGCATAACTAGACAGTCTGTGGACATAAAAGGCAAGTTTTTTACCTGCATGTGTAATCGAAAAAGACGTGAAAGTTAATATTATCCGCTTTCGAATCTTATGTTCTATTGAATTCCAAGGCTGGTGTAGCAGAGACTTGAATTTCGGCTAGTCTGAAAATTGTATTTTTAGAATCTATCACCAATAGACTTTCTATCGATACCTTACTTGTGCATCACTAGACTAGTCCGTGGAGATGAATGGCAGGTTTTTCCAACTGTGTAATCGAAAAAAACGTGAAAGTTAATATTTTGCGCTTTCGAACCTTATCTTCTATTGAATTTCAAGGATCCTGTAGCAAAAACTTTAATTTGGCACGGTCTAAAAATTATATTCTTGGCATCTACGGTCAACAGGCTTTCTGCTGATGCCTCGTTCTTGCTTAACTAAACAGTCCGTGGACATAAAAAGCAAGTTTTTTCACCTGCATGTGTAATCGAAAAAGACGTGAAAGTTAATATTATGCGTTTTCGAATCTTATCTTCTATTGAATTTCAAGGCTCCTGTAGCAAAAACTAGAATATGGCACGGTCTGAAAATTATATTTTCGGAATCGACGGTCAACAGGATTTCTGCTGATGCCTCGTTCTTGCATAACTAGACAGTCTGTGGACATAAAAAGCAAGTTTTTCACCTGCATGTGTAATGGAAAAGGTCGTGAAAGTTAATACTATGCGCTTTCGAATCTTATGTTCTATTGAATTCCAAGGCTCCTGTCGCAGAGAATTGAATTTGGGCTAGTCAGAAAATTGTATTTTAGAATCTATGAGCAATAGGCTTTCTCTCGATGCCTTACTTGTGCATCACTAGACTTGTCCGTGGAGATGAATGGCAGGTTTTTCCAACTGTGTAATCAAAAAAAACGTGAAAGTTAATATTTTGCGCTTTCGACCCTTATCTTCTATTGAATTGCAAGGCTCCTGTAACAAAAACTTTAATTTGACACGGTCTAAAAATTATATTCTTGGAATCTACGGTCAACAGGCGTTCTACTAAAGCCTCGTTCTTGCATAACTAGACAGTCCGTGGACATAAAAAGCAAGTTTTTTCACCTGCATGTGTAATCGAAAAAGACGTGAAAGTTAATATTATGCGTTTTCGAACCTTTTATCTTCTATTGAATTTCAAGGCTCCTGTAGCAAAAACTAAAGTTTGGCACGGTCTGAAAGGTATATTTTTGGAATCTACGGTCAATAGGCTTTCTGCTGATGCCTCGTTCTTGCATAACTAGACAGTTCGTGGACATAAAAAGCAAGTTTTTTCACCTGCATGTGTAATCGAAAAAGACGTGAAAGTTAATGCTGTGCGCTTTCGAATCTTATGTTCAATTGAATTTCAAGGCTCCTATAGCAAAAACTAGAATTTGGCACGGTCTCAAGATTATATTTTTGGAATGTACGGTCAATAGACAGTTCCCGAATTTGCTTGAGTGCACACGAAACAATAGCTTGGAATCGAGGCGGACAATGTAATCCATTGGAAAACTATACTTATTTCCAATGGATTACATTGTCCGCCTCGATTCCAAACTATTGTTTCGTGTGCACTCAAGCAAATTCGGGAAGTGTCTATAGGCTTTCTGCTGATGCCTCGTTCTTGCATAACTAGACAGTCCGTGGACATAAAAAGCAAGTTCTTTCACCTGGATGTGTAATCGAAAAAGACGTGAAAGTTAATATTATGCGCTTTCGAATCTTATGTTCTATTGAATTCTAAGGTTCCTGTTGCAGAAACCTAATTTGGGCTAGTCTGAAAATTGTATTTTTGGAATCTACCACCAATAGGCTTTCTCTCGATGGCTTACTTATGCATCACTAGACTTGCCCGTGGAGATAAATGCCAGGTTTTCCACCTGCGTAATCGAAAAAAACGTAAAAGTTAATAATGTGCTGTTTCAATTTTTCTGTTCTTACCGGGTGATTGAGGACGTGGTTCTCGTGTGATTGAGGACGTGGTTCCACTTGTGATTGAGGACGTGGTTCCCGTGTGATTGAGGACGTGGTTCCCTCGTGATTGAGGACGTGGTTCCCTCGTGATTGAGGACGTGGTTCCCTCGTGATTGAGGACGCGGTTCCCGTGTGATTGAGGACATGGTTCCCCTTGTGATTGAGTGCGTGGTTCATGAGTGGTTGGAGACGTGGTTCCCATGCGATTGAGGACGTGGTTCCCTTGTGATTGACGACGTGGTTCCCGTGTGATTGAGGACGTGGTTCCCGTCTGATTGAGGACGTGGTTCCCGTATGATTGAGGACATGGTTCCCGTGTGATTGAGGACGTGGTTCCCGTGTCATTGACGACGTGGTTCCCGTGTGATTGAGGACGTGGTTCCCGTGTTATTGAGGACGTTGTTCCCGTGTGATTGAGGACGTGGTTCCCCTTGTGATTGGGGACGTGGTTCCCGTGTGATTGAGGACGTGGTCCCCTTGTGATTGGGGACGTGGTTCCCGTGTGATTGAGGACGTGGTTCCCATGTGATTGAGGACGTGGTTCCCGTTTGATTGAGAACGTGGTTCCCGTTTGATTGCGGACGTGGTTCCACTTGTGATTGAAGACGTGCTTCCCGTGTGATTGAGGACGTGGTTCCCTCGTGATTGAGGACGTGGTTTCCTCGTGATTGAGGACGTGGTTCCTTCGTGATTGAGGACGTGGTTCCCGTGTGATTGAGGACATGGTTCCCCTTGTGATTGAGTGCGTGGTTCATGAGTGATTGAAGACGTGGTTCCCATGCGATTGAGGACGTGGTTCCCTTGTGATTGACGACGTGGTTCCCGTGTGATTGAGGACGTGGTTCCCGTGTTATTGAGGACGTGGTTTCCGTGTGATTGAGGATGTGGTTCCCGTGTGATTGAGGGCGTGGTTCCCGTGAGATTGAGGACGTGGTTTCCGTGTGATTGAGGATGTGGTTCCCGTATGATTGAGGACGTTGTTCTGGTGTGATTGAGGAGGTGGTTCCCTTGTGATTGAGGGCGTGGTTCCCGTGTGATTGATGACGTGGTTGCCGTGTGATTGAGGACGTGGTTACCATGTGATTGAGGGCGTGGTTCCCTTGTGATTGAGGGCGTGGTTCCCCTTGTGGTTGAGGACGTCGTTCCCGTGTGATTGAGGACGTGGTTACCGTGTGATTGAGGACGTGGTTCCCCTTGTGATTGAGGACGTGGTTCCCTTGTGATTGAGGACGTGGTTCCCCTTGTGATTGAGGGCGTGGTTCCCTTGTCATTGAGGACGTGGTTGCCGTGTGATTGGGGACGTGGTTCCCCTTGTGATTGAGGGCGTTGTTCGCGTGTCATTGAGAACGTAGTTGCCGTGTGATTGAGGGCGTGGTTCCCTTGTGATTGAGGACGTGGGTGCCGTGTGATTGAGGACGTGGTTCCCGTGTGATTGAGGGCGTGGTTCCCGTGTGATTGAGAACGTGGTTCCCTTGTCATTGAGGACGTGGTTGCCGTGTGATTGAGGGCGTGGTTCCCTTGTGATTGAGGACGTGGTTGCCGTGTGATTGAGGACGTGGTTCCCGTGTGATTGAGGACGTGGTTCCCGTGTGATTGAGGACGTGGTTCCCTTGTGATTGAGGACGTGGTTCCCTTGTGATTGATGACGTGTTCCCGTGTGATTGAGGACGTGGTTCCCGTGTGATTGAGGAGGTGGTTCCCGTTTGATTGAAGCTACTGTGTCAAGCCCTCAGGTATTTTTCTATTTTTTTTTAAAAAAAAACATCTTAGGCTACCTCTGTGCCTTGTCTTGCGCTGCTGTGTCCAACGCACAGGTGACAGAATACATCGATTTTTTTATTTCTTTCGAAAAATAAACAGATCCTATTCTAATTTGTATCTCTTGATACAACCTGGAACCGAACCTGGCACCACGCACTTGCAACACTTCGTGTTTACCGCTAGACCGTCTCGCCTACTTTCTTTATGTTCTTTTTTATTCTACTTAACTTTTTCTTCTCTCAGGTGCAATTAATTAGCGACGACGCCCGTCGCTAAAATGCTCTTGATACACCCAGGAATCGAACCTGGCATCACGCACTTGCAACACTTCGTCCTTACCACTAGACCGTCTCGCATGCACTTCCTTTATGTTCTTTTTTATTCCACTTAACTCTTTCTCTCCTCGGCCGACGCTAAAATGCTCTTGATACAACCAGCAATCAAACCTGTCGTCACGCGCTTGAAACCCAAAAATGAAATAAGTGGCGAAAAATGGACGAAAAGTTAAGGCTATTGCCTTATTTTTTTTCCATTTTTTGCCACTTTTTCCATTATGAAATAAGTGGGAAAATATGGCAAAAAAGTAAGGCTATAGCCTTTACTTTTTTGCCATTATTTTGCCACTTTTTCAAATATGAAATAAGCGGCGAAAAATGGACGAAAAGTTAGGGCTATAGCCTTACTTTTTTGCAATTTTTTCCCACTTTTTCAAAAACGAAATAAGTGGCGAAAAATGGACGAAAAGTTAAGGCCTTACTTTTTAGCCATTTTTTGCCACTTTTTCAAAAACGAAATAAGTGGCGAAAAATGGACGAAAAGTTAAGGCCTTACTTTTTAGCCATTTTTTTCCACTTTTTCAAAAATGAAATAAGTGGCGAAAAATGGACGAAAACTTAAGGCTATAGCCTTACTTTTTAGCCATTTTTTGCCACTTTTTCAAAAACGAAATAAGTGGCGAAAAATGGACGAAAAGTTAAGGCCTTAAGAGAGGATGTCCACAAAAATCAAACATAAAGCGGCCACGACTGAAAAATCGATTTTGCTCAAATTTTGCCCAGATATACCTTATTATATCGGAAAATGCACCATATATTTTTTTCGGTCAAATGCTTTTTTAACTTTGAGAAAATGCCGTTTTAACACGACCCCCCTAAATCGCCATTTTTTCTGGGAAAATATGCGCTGATTTTACAGATAAATTTCACCACGACAACCGTTTCTAATCGATCTAAAACCCTAAAAATCTTGTTTTCGGTTATTCAAAGGACTGTGTACATGACTTACAGGAAATCTGAGTTACTTTTAGGAATAGAAATAATCGTAGTTTTGGAGCACACTATCTTACTTCATTTACGATACCCTCTTAACAAAATCGATTTTCACCATGCGATAAAGCTCCAAATCGATCATGCTTCTACTAGTTGGCTCTTTAATAAACAAGCTTTCAATTGACGTAAATACTTCTTTTGGCAAATGAATACGCGATAAACGACAGCGCGTTGAAATCTTCCGTTTTTGACGTCTTGCAAGTCAAACGCTGTTAATTTATACACCGTCGAAGTAAACAATTTAATCAAGTATTCCAAGTATTTTACCTTTCGAGAAAAAACATATTCTTGAATGGGGACTTTTCGCTTTGCTAAGTTTAAAAGTGGTCCAGAAATCCCAGTATATTTGTAAAAAAATCATCAAACATCCAGTATTTTGAGACATTGTTGACGGTTGCATGATAACTTCAGATCATTATTCAACGTGATCTACGACCCGGCCGTTTGACTTTAGCGCTAACATATACAAATCGATGAGCTATTTAAGGATTATATTTGCTACTAAATTCCCCAAAAGAATTGGAACTACAACTGCTTTTTCAGAGGTTTTGATCCATTTTGTCCATATTAATGTACCATTTTATTTATCGACTGATGTTTACAAATACGTAAGTTAATTATTAAGCAGCTGTTAGCGTGCGTGTACATGTGAAATGAACGTTTATAATGTTTATCCATATAAGGAGTTTTTATTTTTAGTTTACCAGCCCTTATATTTGAATAGTCGTTTCCTTTCAAGTTGTTTTCCTTTTTATACTCTGCAAAGTTGATTCCGAAGTGTTAAGGTATCTGAAAAAACTATCGAACTTTTCCATGATATTTACAGAGACGTCACAGCTGTAAACCCCCCTCCCCCACCCTCAAAACGAACATATGACGTTTCTTGTGGAAAAAATCGATATGTGAGGCTTCCCTAAAACTGCAAGGTTTACACTATTGAATTAAAATCCCACAGACCACAACGATTATACGTATTGATTGTTTCTTGACGATAGTAGACGCGTACGTGCATGTTGCGGAAGAGGTTATTTCGCTGGCCTCAGAGTGACCAAAGTACTCTGGTTCTAGAGGTTTAAAATCATAAACCTCTGTTTGAAAGCGGCAATTATTCATCGAGCCGCGCCAGTTATGATAAGACAAGGGCGGCGCCAGGGCCGCCCATGCAGGGAGGCGGCAAAGGGAGCAATTTTCTCCGCGACCCCAGCTCAAGGAAGACAGGCAAATACAAATTTGCAAGGCGATAAAAAGTTTGTCGACGGAGGGGGGGGGGGGAATTGTGGTTCACCGGGGCCCCAAGGGTATAATTGGCCCTGGGGACCCATATTTCATTGAGCTGGTTTGGGCTGCGCCAGTATTTCTCCGACGGGAGGAGTCATCAGTGCTCTCTTTTGATCTTTGTCAATTGGCATTAAAACCGCAAGAACTACCGACAAGTGACCAGGGCCGGATTAACGTCGCGCGAGGCCCGTGGCAAATTTTAGCGCGAGGCCCCCAAACCTCCCCCTTTCTTCTTTTTATGAAAACCATTGAATTTAAAGACACACAAAAGTGTTAAATAATTTTTTTCAATATTTCAATTTATTTGCACAATTATAAACGAGATAATGGCCTGCCTGGCGCAGTTGGTGGGTATAAACAGGATCATAATATAACAGCTCAACGCAACTAAAAATTATATGAACACGAGTATTGCATATTTTCCAGGGGCCGTGCTAGGGCGAACTGCCAAGCCTAGGGGCCCTAAATGCGCGAGGTCCCTAATAGAAAATAGTCGTGTTCTCGTAAAAATGGGCGTAGCACAGTAAAGCGCGAGGCCCACGGCATTTGCCGTATTTGACACGTGGTTAATCCGGCGTTAAACGAGCAACAAGCTTTCATTTTCTTTAAACGCGACGTATGGGGAGACAATAATAATTTGTGATGTCGCACTGGGCCAAAATACTCAATGCTGTATTTTTGGATACTAGTACTTGTGAAATATAATAAGATCAATAGACATTAGTGTATCAAAATAAAGTAATTTTACTGATTATTTTAACTGTGCATCAAAGTAAACACACATTATTCTAAACTACAGTATTTGCTATATGCCTATAATTTGAGTTTGAGGTGGTAGAATATATAATAAAATAACAAACCTTGTATGGATAAATGTTCATTTCACACGCACGCTATTAACAGCTGCTTAATAATTAACTGATGTTTCGTAAACATTTATACTCGATAGTCGATATGTAAATACTAAATGGTACATTATATGGATCAATGCAAACTGGAACAAAACAACAATTGTCAATTGAAGTTCTAATTTTGGGAAATTTAGTAACAAATATAAAATCACTAAACTGCTCATCGATATGTATGTTTGCGCTATTAAAAGTAGACAATATTGAACAATGATCTGAAGTTGTCATGCAACTGACAACAATATTATATTTCAAAATACCTGTATATGATGATATTTTACAAATATCTCGGGATTTTTGGATCAATTTTAAACTAAGCAGGGTAAAAAGTCTCCATTCAAGAATATATCTTCTTCTCAAAAAATAAAATACTTAAAATACTTTATTAAATTGTTTACTTCGACGGTATGTAAATTAACAGAGTTTGACTTGCAAGACGTCAAAAACGGAAGATTTCAACGCGCTGTCGTTTATCGCGTATTCATTTGCCAAAAGAAGTATTTACGTCAATTGAAAGGTTGCTTATTAAAGAGCCAACTAGTGGAAGCATGATCGATTTGGAGCTTTATCGCATGGTGAAAATCGATTTTGTTAAGAGGGTATCGTAAATGAAGTAAGGTAGTGTGCTCCAAAACTACGATTATTTCTATTCCTAAAAGTAACTCAGATTTCCTGTAAGTCATGTACACAGTCCTTTGAATAACTGAAAACAAGATTTTTAGGGTTTTAGATCGATTAGAAACGGTTGTCGTGGTGAAATTTATCTGTAAAATCAGCGCATATTTTCCCAGAAAAAATGGCGATTTAGGGTGGTCGTGTTAAAACGGCATTTTCTCAAAGTTAAAAAAGTATTTGACCTAAAAAAATATATGGTGCATTTTCCGATATAATAAGGCATATCTGGGCAAAATTTGAGCAAAATCGATTTTTCAGTCGTGGCCGCGAAATGTCTCATATGTTCGATTTTTACTGACATTCACTCTTAATTTTTTCGCAGTTTTTGCCACTTATTCAAAAATGCAATAAATGGGGAAAAATGGACGAAAGGTTAAGGCCATTTTTTGCCACTTTTTCAAAAATGAAATAAGTGGCAAAAAGTAAGGCTATACGTGCGTTATATATGCCCTAGCATTGTTGCCATGCAAATTTCCCGAGTTTAAGACTCGAAGGAAGTTATCCCTCATACCCTGCGCGCTCAATGTTTAAGGTTTAAGATTTTATAAAGTTAAGTTTAAGACAAACATTTTAAATAAATAAAAAAAACCTGGAACTACTGTACGTATGTTTATTCTGTCAAATTTTAGGCTTTACTCCAACTATTTATACAAAATACCTTTTAAACTTTCAACGCAAATGGCTTCATTACATTTCAGAAAAACCAACCGTGACGTTAAGTTGTTCCAGTCCTATCAAGGTAGATGAGGGTGATAATGTCACATGTGCATGTAGAGGACAAGGTGGAAACCCTCCAGCCAATGTAATTTGGTACAAAGATGGCGTCCAGTTTGGTAGAACCAGAAAAGAAGAACAGACATTAATCTCAGGAATGTTAATGGAACAGACACTGGAACGTACAAGTGTGTGGCCCAAAGTCTCACTCTAATTAACGGACGAAGAATACATCAAAATAATTGTTTATTGTAAGTAGAGTCAGTGGTAACTGTTTAGAACTTGTGAATATATTTCAAATAGTAAAAATATGCATCAAAAAAGCTAATTATACCCTATATGAATTGAACTCGCTTGGCTATATCAATTCTTGCTGTTTGAAAATTTATATAGAATACATAAAGGTAAAGCTTTCAATCTGTAAGCCTGGATGTTCATTCAGTGCTAATAAAAAGTTTATCATTTATCAGCATATAAAGAGTTTGTATCTTTACAGACGCTGTTCCACCTAGAGTAATAAGCCTTACATCGACTCCAGAAAATGTCGTACTTGGTGAACCAGTCGTGATAACGTGTGAAGCAATAGCTGTGCCTTTACCAAGTTATACCATAATCCATAACGATACTGAGGTCGTCAGTACTCACAATACACATATTATAACTGTTTTGAAATACAGAGATGCTGGGTCGTATAAATGTATTGCCACAAGTATACTTGGAAATAGTTCAATTCAGCTTGTCTGTCACAGGTAATCATATACGATCTTTGCTATGATTGCATTACCTTTTAAAAAGTGATGTAAACTATAGTGCATCAAGCTTAATATGTAACTATAGGCAAATCAGAGAGCGGACTCTTAACAATGTGATTTCATTTTCAGTAACACCAACAACGACTACTCCAACTACAAAGGATTTCGGAACAGGTAAAGTCGTTTTCTTATCCTAACATGGTTCCAGATAGTATAATATTTGTGTTATGTTTAATTTTTTGGGACGCCCATGCAGTATACGGTACATAGAACCAGATGGTTTAGGGAATTGGTAAACCCATCTATGTGACTGTGTTCTTAATTTTCAGGAAAAACAGCTTTAGAAAAATGTAATCGTAGTGGAACTGTATGGTATATGGTTGTGGTAATACTGGTGTCTGGGATTATCATTGGAATTCTTCTTTGCTACATTGTCTTGTGTTTCCGTCGTAAATTTAGAAGTAGGAAACCTCAATCAAACCCTGAACCAAAGGCAACTGAAGTTGATACAACTTCTCAAGAGCTTGATCTTTCAAAAATGAACACAGAAGACAATTATCAATCGTTGAGAAACAGAGGACCTCAATCAAACCCTGAACCAAAGGCAACTGAAGTTGATACAACTTATCAAGAGCTTGATCTTTCAAAAATGAACACAGAAGATAATTATCAAGAGTGAATGCTGCGAGTAATTACGAGGATGCAACATATACTGAGTTAAACACAGCCAGAGACGTGGAGAACAACTACCAATCTTTAACTTGAACCTGGAATTTTATATGCGTCCCGTTCAAATTAGCTAATAATCTTACTAAATCTTACATCTTTGTCTTTCACACAATTAAATAAGAATTCCAAAGAGCAATTCCAGACGAGTAGCAATGAACATTAAACAAAGAAATCAACGAACTAGGCAAACCAACCCTCTTACAATTCATTACAGTATTCCACTTATTTAACCGACAGGAAACGTTTCCACAAAACAATTTTTAAAAATAAAATTTGGGGGTCACCGATGTCGTTTACGAGTTAAATTCACTTCAGTGGTTAAATTACTTTAAAGTCAAAATATCCGCCATCTTGAAACGTCATTGTTGCCATAGCAACGGCAGTTACGTAACTTTTGTGCGAAAACTCTTTAGATGTTGTTTTATATAAGTAAGGTAATTTTTGTTTATCAACAAGTAATAATTGTCTAAAAATACGCATCTAAATCGTGAATTTTCAATTTTTTTAAAAACTGTATTGAGCTACCTTAATCAATGTTTGTAAATCGGATAAAGATTTATCCTGATTTACATATAAACTTCAGCTTTGATTTTCTCGGCTTAGACAATGTTCATTTTATATCAGATAAAGATCAGCTATTCATGTTTTAACTGGTACTTATAAACCCGTCAGACCTTATTACTGTATTTTTGTTTTCCATTGTATACATGGTTTTGAACTTTAGTGTAGCAAGCCCACAGTATGTAATTGGATTTTACTACCTTTTGGAAAGGGCAGTCGGAGCGTTTCTCCTATATGAATGTATATAGCATGCAGTGCACCACATAGATTGTACATGCTCAGCTCAGTTTTATAGTCCCACAAGCAGTAAACCTTTTATTAATCAACTTCGGTGTAAAAAAATACAGTATATTTTATTAAAGTAACGAATACAGTATTATTGAATGAAAAAGTTCAAAGTTTTTCTTCACATTGATCAACATTTTATTACTTAAACAATGCTTGCATGTGGACTTACAGCTAAGGTGTCATTTTTTTATATCAATTAATTTAATAAAGATTATATCTGTATACATGTAGCTATCATTTTCAAATGATACCTTTTGTATCATTCGAACAAAAATGTCCAAATACGATTAAAAATTTCCGGTCAAAATCCCAGTTTCCCCCAAATTTTTCTGCCTTTTCCTAAAGGCCCTGTCACACTATTGCGTATCGTACTAGCGTATGCCAGCGTATGCCACATATCACTCATACGCCGGTATACGCTGACATACGCTAGGGGTACGTTAGGCATAGGTTGGATACGTTTCAAGCACGGTCGCGTACGGTGGCATACGCTGGGCGGATACGGCGAAGCAGAAAAGCATGCTCAAAAATTTTGTGCGTATCGGACGTATGCTTTATACGATAAGCATACTCTAGGCACATGCTGAATACGCTATAGAGGTACGCCAGATGTACGGTACTCATGCATACGCTGGCATTAATTTCAAAGGATTTTTGTGCGTATGAAAATTATTTCATTAATTTCCATACGTTTCTCTCATACGCAATAGTGTGACAGGGCCTTTGATCTCAGGTCTTTGACTTTGTTTTTAAACACTCTTTAATAAAAAAATAATAATTTCAAAGAGCAATAATCAATTGCGCAACATAGCAACGAAGCCAATCTCTTACAAGACGGAGACCAGCTAAGAAGTACTGTATATAGGCAAATCAACCCTCTTACTGTTGTTTTGCCGACAGAAAATCATAGTCTCAATATTTTTTTGTCAAAGGCAATTCATAGTAAAACTATAGAGGGCATTCAAAACGTGTATTATGTCGAAAAAAACAGAGCAAATTTTTTTCTAAATTTTTCATGCAATTTCACATCCAGATTCAACTAATATTTGGTCAATTTCACCTTCGCTTATGGCTATTGGTTCCACAAATTTTTGGAACCAAGTGTGTAATAGTTTTTGAGTTATTCAGTTCCAACCACACAATACAAGCACCACACAAACATTCACACAAGCAAATGAAAACGTACCTTCCTGGGAGGTAGAAAAAGTTTGACTGCTTAAATAAATTCACCATAGCTTTCGGAATCTATATGCAGTCGGCTTTATGTCTTATTTGCACATCATTAAGCTTTAATATTAGCGTTGAAGCCGGAAGAACTTTAGGTTGCATCCTGCATGATGTTTCGCGCTCCGGAATAAATTACTCCTTGATCTTTATACCAATCACAACCCTTTCCTTAAACCTATTGCAAACAGCACGCCAAATCGAAGCTATAGCGTTTGGTGGCCAATTTTACAGGAATACCAACCGAAGTTATTCGAATTGAATTTATGAATTCACTATAAATATAGACTTTAGAAACTTATACACAGACTGCAAGTATAGTGTGTCACATTTTTGCACATCAAGCTTCAATCAGTATCGAAACTGGAAGATTGTATGGAGAAGAACTTTACACCATCCAAACAACACACTTGTATATAGCATTTGGTGGCCAATTTTACAGGAATACTATACTACTATACTTACAGCAAGTGTGTAGCCAGAGGTGTGTAGCTATGTATAATATTTTTTTATATTTGATTTTTGATATTCCTGTATGAAGGCGTATATATAGAGTTCATATTTTTATACCAACCAGGAATATTTAATTTACTCCTTAATATACTCTTGTTTAAAATTAACTAAGTTAATAAATGTAATCCCAAACACTCCATGAGTCAATAGTGTCTTATCTGCATTAAGATCATCGTTTATTGAATGAAATTTGTTCAGGAATCACATTCGTTTGCGTAATCAAAGCATGTTGTCATTGATGTCGTTTGTATATACCAATACGTCACCAAAACTACCGTTAATAAGATCAGAATAAGGTACACAGAATGCCGACTTCTTCATTTTTCCTATGATTTTCCTATGATTTTGGCGTAACCCGTAATTCGTCATCAAATGCTGACGCCATGGTCCTAGCCAGTGCGAGTTTGAGAGGCATTCACGTACCCCCTGATAATATTCAAAATGGCGGATGTCCAGGGGGAATGCCTCTCAAACGCGCACTGGCTAGGACCATGGCGTCAGCATTTTGATGATGAATCATGGCGTGGCAGTGGTTACTCGAGTCGACCTTCTGTGTACCTTATTCTGTGATGAGATCACAGAGAAGAGATAGTACAGAGAGGAAACCTCAATGGAGGAAACAGACACCTCGATAACCTGAATTTTCGTGTCACGTGTTCCACGCGCCACGCAAAATCTTCCAACCAGTGCCGTCGCTAAAATTTCATAGCAAAAGATAGGGAAAACGCAGTTCTAAAGGTGAAAATCGCTTTTTTTTAAAAAAAATAAGATACCCATGGAAGTTTTGTTCAATAAATTATTGTAGAATAACGGTAAGCGATCACTTTTATTGATTTCTTTTTATTAAAAGTGTTAACATAACATTTTATTTGGCAAAAGTTTTTTCCCTATCTACTCCTGGGAATTTCAGATGCTCATATATAAAAAACAAAGCAGCAAATGATATAAATCCTCAAAATATAACTCTTGCATAAAAAAGCATGGAATTTTTTTATATGTATAGTTTTTTCCTCTGCATGGTCAACATTTAATAAAATAGTGATTTAATACAATTTTCTATTGTTAATAGACTGAATATATCGGCGTGACACAATTTGCCACGTGTTTCCTCTCTGTACTACAGTATCTCTTCTCTGTGATGAGATCGCGCATTCCCTGCGCGAATCACGCCTGTGAGGTCATTATGCATATATTAAGGTTTATTTTATTTTTAGCTGTTGTGAAGATCTCCCCGACATTGATGGTTTTCTGTGAAAAGTTATGGAACAGCTGCATGCATATTTAATTGTTTTCTATTTCTATCCAGGTTTGACGTCCATAAAATGATTTGTGTTGGTTTTCACATTTTATTTGGGCTCGGTTTTATGTTGTTTTCATGTGAAGGTATAAGACTTTTTATTTTCATTTTTACAAATTTTATTTCCCCGTATAGTTTAAAGTGGAAGTCAAGTCCGTTCTGCGCATCGGTTCTGCTGATAACAATGTGAGGACCTCTAATGAGTAATGTGAACATTGCCCAAATTTCGAATGTTTCGAATTTTTCTGAACATAAACTCTATTCCATATTCATTTAGAAGCAAAGCGAACCAAAATGGTGTTAGATATTCAGACAGTACTGTAATGTCTGTAAATAATATGCTGATAATGATAGGTTATACATGACTGGTTTTGTCTGTAAATAATATGCTAATGATAGTTATAATGCATGACTGCTTTTGCATGTTATAAAGGCTTGTGTTTTTATACCGGTGAGCAGTTCGTCACCAAATTTGTATACCGTATTTATCGCCCGTTTGGAGTCTTAGTAAGAAATAAAGTTACAATAAAAGTTTAAACTGATAATACGCGTATTACAATACCTGAATATTGACAGTTAGCCGTTTGGCAGTTACATTAGTATACAAATTTGACGAGAGTAATTTGTTTATGGCTGAAAATCCAGATCAAATCAGTGAAGCGTCTCGTCTGAGTCCCAGAGTAAGAATACCAAACCTTAACCTTGATCAAGAAGGTATTCGGAACGAGGATTTGAACAGACTAAGAAATAGTCGACGAGGAGTTTTGTCCGCTATTACGGTAAAGCAAAATGGAATAGTAAGCCTGTTAACGGACGATAAGAATCTCGAAGTTGTAAAGGCGAAATTGCGTGACTTGGAAGAGCTATTTCTAAAGTATGTCGACGTACATTACAGTTATCAAAGGCTACTTCCAGACGATGAAAGTCAAGAAACAGCACAACATCAATACGAAAGGGAAGAAAAAGTACGCCGTGATTTCATAATTTCGATACAAGAATGGGTCCAAGTGGTAGAGTCTCGTACGCCACATATCGCTGATATTAATCCAGAAGACTCGGTGAGCGATGTAGGATCGAAGGCGAGTTCTCGTAGGCTGACAAGACCAAGTTCTGTTACAAGTCGAGACGGGAGTCGCATATCTTCAGCTTCAGCCAGCAGAGTTAAAGAGGCTACTAGAAGAGCAGAACTTATCGCTCAAGCCGAATGTTTAGAGCAACAACAAGCTCTAGAACAGCAGAAGTTTCGAATACAACAAGAGGAGAAGCATATGCAATTGGAAATGGAGATCGCTAAAAGCGTTGCAAAGGAAAAGGTGTTGGCTGTCTTGGAGGAAAACGAACGGAGCAAGATAATCCAACCTGTACGGACTAATATACAGTCACGATTGTCCAAGACAAAAATTAACAGTCAAGCCAAAAGTCAACCAAGCGAGTCGAATAAATCAAGCCGATCGGAAGCATCCGGCTATGGCGTCACGACTCTGCAAACAATGTTGCGATTGCAAGGTCAGCAAAATGATTTAAATTTAAAGCAGAATGAAATCATGAAAGGTTTTTCAGCACAACAAGAAAGAAGCTCACTGCCAAAGCCGCAAATTCCAATATTTGCAGGTAATCCTATGGAGTATCAGAACTTTGAACGAGCATTTGAGAACATAATCGAGACTAGAATTGCAAACGATACAGAACGACTCTATTATCTTGAACAGTATACTGCTGGCGAAGTCAAAGAATTGGTCAAATCATGTCATCATATGAAGCCAGAACGAGGTTATCGCGAAGCTCGACGTTTGTTAAAGAAAAATTACGGAAATGAATACAAGATTTCAGCTGCCTACATGGAGAAGTTAGCGAGATGGCCTGATTTGAAGTCAGAGGATAATGCAGCCTTGCATAAACTTTTTATATTCCTTTTATGTTGCAAGAATGTTATGACAACCAACGCATATCTGAATAAATTCGAAAGTGCTGACAGCTTGCAATAAGTTGTGCAAAAGCTACCATTTAGCATGAGATGTAGATGGCGACGACATGCTGACGAAATAATAGAAGTGAAACAGAGATTGGTGACTTTTCCTGATCTTGTTGATTTCGTCGAAAAGGAATCGAGAATAGCCAACAATCCTATATTTGGTAACATCTCGGAAAGTCCAAAGGCCTGGCCGGCAAAGGGTAAAAGCAATGAAGTACCTAAGTCAAGACAAACGAATTACAAGGGATCCAGTTTCGCCACTGAGATGCAGGTAACGAGAGGAGCAAATAATTCTTCATCACGAAAGGTGGACAAGTCATGTGAATATTGCAATCGTAGAACTAATCATGTTTTGGAAGAATGTGACATTTTAAGATGCAAACCCTATAAAGAGCGCATCGGATTCTTGATGGAAAAGAGATTTTGCTTTGGTTGTCTACGAGAGGGGCATATTGCAAAGAATTGTATGGATAGAGCTACATGCAAAATTGCCAATTGTCTTCGAAAGCATCCCACAGTCCTTCATACCAATACTAACGATATTGGAAAGAACAGAATCTACACGAGAAGCGCTGAGAAAGAAGACAAAGGCACTTCGACTGAAGGTATCAAAGAAGTTAATGTTGGATCCACTACCTGTGACGACAACAAGCAACGTCCTACCCTAACAGGGGCCGGGAAATCCGTCATCGCCCGAGCGATTGTACCTGTCAAAGTTAGAGTCAGAGGCACAGATGAAGCTATTATTACGTATGCATTCCTTGACAATGGAAGTGATTCAACGTTCTGCACAGAGATACTGGCTCAGCAATTAGGTATCGAGGGTGTCAAAACCAAGATCGCGCTAACGACAATGGAGCAGAAAAACAGTCTCGTAGACAGTTCTATTATACATAATTTAGAAGTTTCCGACCTAGATGAGAATAATTTTATACGATTGCCTGTTATGTTTACAACGAAAGAAATCCCAATAATCAGAGATGATATTCCTAGGCAAGAAGACATAGAACAATGGACTCATCTAGAAGGAATTCACTTACCGAACGTGGACGCACAAGTTGGTCTTCTTATTGCAAGCGACGTACCAGAAGCACTAGACCCCCTGGAAGTAAAAAATAGTCAGGATGGTGGTCCCTACGCAACAAGAACAGCATTGGGCTGGGCAGTTAATGGTCCGCTGTATCGTCAACATGAAAGATATCACACCAGAAACTTTTTTGTAAAATCAGACGTACAGTTGAATGAAATAGTAAAGGATGCTATCAATCGAGATTTCAACGAGTCGATCGCTGATGACCGGACAGAATTGTCACAGAAAGAGCAACAATTCATGGACAACGTAAAGAACACAGTTGAATTGAACAATGGTCATTATTGCATTGCACTTCCATTCAAAGATGAAAAGATTCAAATGCCTAACAATAAACCTCAAGTGGAACAGCGAGCCTTTTGGTTGAAACAGAAGTTGCAAAAGAAGCCCAAGTTCTATGCTGACTATAGAACGTTCGTGGAAAACCTCATCCAAAAGGGTTATGCTCGAAAAATACCACTAGATCGCTTGGATCGACAAGATGGTAAAGTTTGGTATATTCCCCATCACGGTGTTTACCACCCTCACAAGCCAGACAAAATCCGTGTGGTGTTCGATTGTTCGTCCAAGTATAAAGGCGAGTCCCTCAACAACCATCTTTTACCTGGACCTGACTTAACCAACCAATTGATTGGAGTATTGATGAGATTTCGTCAAGAGCCTATCGCCTTCATCGCCGACATTGAAGCTATGTTTTATCAGGTCCGAGTAGCAGAATCTAATATCGATTGCCTCCGGTTCCTTTGGTGGCCTGATAGTAACCTGGAAAAAGATCCAGAGGAATATCAAATGTTGGTGCACCTATTTGGGGCAACATCATCGCCTAGCTGTTCCAATTACGCCTTACTACAAACGGCAGAAGATAACAAAGACAACTACGAAGCAGAAGTGATCAACACGGTAAAACGGAACTTTTATGTAGACGATTGTCTTAAATCTACACCTACCGCAGAACATGCCATTACCCTTGTCCATGACCTTCGCGAGCTCCTAAGCAAAGGCGGTTTTCACTTAACGAAATGGTCCAGTAACAGTCGCAAAGTTCTGCAGAGTATTCCCAGTGAAGAACGTGCTAAAGAGGTGAAAGATCTGGACTTAAACCAAGACAAGCTGCCAATTGAGAGAGCATTAGGAGTGCAATGGTGATGAATTTGGATTCAAAATCGTTATCAAAGATCGACCACCGACAAGACGTGGTATCCTATCAGTAGTAAGTTCCATCTACGATCCTTTTGGATTCCTGGCACAAGTTATCTTACCCGCGAAGTTGATCCTTCAGGAGTTATGCCGTATGAAGTTAGCATGGGATGACAAGATACCGAGCAAGTATTTATCTTTTTGGCATCAATGGTTAGTCGATCTTCCCAAACTGTCCAAGTTTACGATTGCTCGATGTATCAAACCACCTGATTTTACAGTCAAATCCACGCAGTTACATCATTTCTCCGACGCTTCTGAGAAAGGATACGGCTCAGTTTCCTACCTACGCCTGTTGAGCCATGACGACACAGTCCACTGTATGTTCTTGATGGGAAAGTCTCGCCTGACACCGTTAAAGCCAATGACAATTCCACGTCTAGAACTATCCGCCGCCACAGTTTCAGTTCGCGTCGACATGATGTTGGAGAGAGAGTTGGATCTATCAGCTGCTGAGACGACGTTTTGGACAGACAGTACTTCTGTTGTTCGATACGTGGAAAATGAAGACAAACGATTCCATGTCTTCGTCGCTAATAGGATTGCAATTATTCGTGAAAGATCAGTGCCTACACAATGGAGACATGTAAACGGCAAATTAAACCCCGCAGATTATGCTTCGCGAGGACTTTCAATCAACGCATTTCTCAAAACTAGCCAATGGATCAACGGACCAGAATTTCTTTGGAATTCTAATGCCGAGTGGCCTCAACGTCCCCCAGTTTTGGGTGAAATTCCCGCTGATGACCCAGAAGTTAGACGTGAAACTGCTGTTTGTACAACCGACGTCCACAATCACCAAGTTAGAGACAATTACCTCTACAGTATCGTGGATAGATTTTCATCTTGGTACCGCGCCAAGAAAGTAATAGCATGGATTTTACGATATCGTACGAAGTTACAACAAGCCAATTCTAAACGTAAAGAAGGAAAGATAATCGAGTTTCCAAAGTCACCAAATGTAAAGTTGTTGCTTCTCCGGATTGATGAAGTGGAAGCGGCAGGTAAAGAGATTCTAAGATGTGTTCAGCATTGTTCGTTCTCGGATGAAATAAAAGCCCTTCAAACGAACAGTACAACGGCAGAAGAATGTAATAAAACCAAGAAATATTCTCGCGTGAAGAAGTCCAGTCCTCTGTCCAAGCTCGATCCTGTATGGCAGAACGGTCTTTTACTCGTAGGTGGACGATTACAAGCTGCAAGCATACCAGATAACGCAAAGCATCAAGTTATCCTACCAAAGAATAACCATGTTGCTGATATTATTATCCGACACTATCATTATATTTCTGGTCATCTTGGAAGAGAATACGTCTTGGCGCTTATTCGCCGAAAGTTCTGGATCATCCAAGCTAACTCAGCCGTTCGAAAAGTTCTTTCAAAATGTGTGAAATGCAGAAAGAGAAAAGCCGAAGTCCTTAACCAGAAAATGGCCGATCTACCTGAAGACCGTCTAATTCCAGACCAACCACCATTCACCTATGTTGGGATAGACTATTTCGGGCCGTTTGTGGTGCGTCGCGGCAGAAGTCTGTTAAAGAGATATGGTGCAATTTTTACGTGTTTGACAATTCGAGCTGTCCATATCGAAGTTTCCCATAGCTTAGATACAGATTCCTTTCTTCTCGCCTTGCGAAGATTTCTTGCCAGGAGAGGTCAAGTAAAGGAGATAAGATCTGATAATGGCACAAACTTCACCAGCGGAGAAAAAGAGTTGCGCGAAGCTGTTGGGAAATGGAACCAAGCTAAAATCCATGATCATCTGTTGCAGAGAAATATAAAGTGGTTATTTAATCCTCCATACGGGTCCCATCATGGTGGAATCTGGGAGCGTTGCATTAGAACAGCCAGAAATATATTGAGAGCCTTGTTGAAGGAACAAGTGATAGATGACGAAAGTCTGCACACCCTAATGTGTGAAGTAGAAGCCATAATGAATGGACGGCCCATCACCAAAGTGAGTGACGATGCAAGAGACCCAAATGCCTTAACACCAAACCACCTGCTGTTAGCTCATTTCAACCCAATCTTCCCACCAGGCGTCTTCACAAGATCGGACGTTTACTCAAAGAGGAGATGGCGCCAAATTCAATATCTAACAGATATATTTTGGAAGCGGTGGACGCGTGAATATCTTCCTTTGTTGCAGGAGAGACAAAAATGGCTTACGCCGAAACGGAATGTAGCAGTAGGGGATATTGTGTTGTTGGTGGATTATTCTTCGCCCAGAAATTGCTGGCCAATGGGAAAAGTGCTGAATGTTTTTCCTGACAAGAACGGTTTGGTGCGCAGCGTCAGAATTCAAACAAAATCGAGTGTATTCGTAAGGCCAATTGACAAACTTGTCCTAGTATTGGAAGCAGATTAAGACAGTAAGAAATTTGTTTATGAACGGAGTAACAGACATTTATTATGTGTAAATTATTAAGTGTAAATTGACGTTTTCCACTTAAAGAGGCCGGTGTGTAATGTCTGTAAATAATATGCTGATAATGATAGGTTATACATGACTGGTTTTGTCTGTAAATAATATGCTAATGATAGTTATAATGCATGACTGCTTTTGCATGTTATAAAGGCTTATGTTTTTATACCGGTGAGCAGTTCGTCACCAAATTTGTATACCGTATTTATCGCCCGTTTGGAGTCTTAGTAAGAAATAAAGTTACAATAAAAGTTTAAACTGATAATACGCGTATTACAATACCTGAATATTGACAGTTAGCCGTTTGGCAGTTACAAGTACATCATATTTTAAAAAATACAGCAGTTCAAAATTAGACTTTCCAAAGTCCGCGGTTCGTGGTTCCTGGAAGCGACGGACTTTTGTCACCCGCAAGCGCGCCAAATTCACCGGTGCATTTTTGCTCCGGTGACGTCAGTGAATGCTCATTATTATTCTCTACTAACGACGCCAAAACAATAATGAACTAGTGAAATCGACATGGTGAACGCCCACTATGTCATAATTGATTTTCGCGCCAAATTTTTCAGTAAGATTCAAAATCAGGCAAGTGACACAAGTCGCTCGTCGCTTCCGTCTTTCTCAAGCGCTCCCTTCTTACTACGCGCGGTCCCTAGCGAGCGACTTGGGCAAGTCTAGTTCAAAATGTAAACAAACCGTTTGTTGACATTACGGACTCGACTTCCACTTTAATATCTCACTCTTGCAGTCTTCACTTACATGGGAAACATTCAAAAACTAAAGTTGTATTTCCACACGGCCATGTATTAAGTTGAGTGAGTTGTCCTTCCCCATCCCCCTTCATGACAATACATGATTGATGTTCAGACTCGGTTGAGAAGGTTTATATCAATTAACCGAAAAAATCGAGGTGTTTTTTCAAAATCGGTGTATCATTGGTTCTGAAGGATCGTAGGACTGTATAATGATAACGATAGTAGGCCTACTTCTGCATGAATGCAAATCGCTTACGAAGGAAAGCCACTTGTTAACCTTGGAAGAGTAATAATTACTTTGCAAATTTTTTTTTGATTATCGGTTTCAGTTATTTTTTAACTTCTTCAGCCTCGGTCAAATTCTTTCCGGCCTCCTCCCCCAAGGGAGTTACATATAGTTTGAACGACCCATGCAAGAGAAATAACTTGTGTCGTTGCAGTTACTTTTAACACAGTAGAGAAAACTTTTTGCTGTGTAGGGCAAGTCTATCCACCATCTAATCAGAGCGTGATAGTTGTTTTACCTGGATCAACTGCCAGACTAAAGTGGTCATTTGTGGGCAATCCTGCTCTAGCATCTGTACTTTGGTATTTCACAAGAAGAGGTGGTTCAAAGGCGGAAGAGCTTGCTGTAAAATTTCGCACCATGGACGTTTTAATTGCTAACAGCAGCCTGCCTGGGGTTGCAATAGAAACACCAGCAACGTTGGTTCTAAAGAATGTTGATGAACGTTATAATGGAAAATACTACTTTAATGTTCTAGTATCTGGTGGAAGTGGTGAGGTTGCAGTTGAGGTTTTTGTTTTAGGTACGTTTTGTTGAAGTACAGTAGGTAACATTTCAGATATGCTTATAATTCTAGGTTGCATGGACATGGCAAAGGTGGTCAAGGCAACGTGCACGGTAGAAATCTTTACCATTATAATTTTAATTAGTTCGTAAAGGGAATGAAACACTAAGGCAACATCTGCAGTGGAAATGTTTACTATTATATTGAGCTACACTTTCGCCTACATAGTGACTTTCCAAAATAAACTCTTTTGTTGTTTCATTACATTTCAGAGAAACCAACTGTGACATTCAATTGTTCCAGGCCCATCATAGTAAATGAAGGTGATGATGTCAAGTGTCAATGTCGAGGTGAAGGTGGAAATCCTCCTGCAGACGTTACATGGTATAAAGGTAGCAACAAAATTGGTGGAACAGGAAGAGAAGAACAATCATTAACTTTCAGTAACGTTGATAAAACAGCCAGTGGAACATATAAATGTGTAGCCAAGAGCCATAATGTAACGGATGAAAAAGCAATCGAAGTAATTGTTTATTGTAAGTAGATAATTGCATGCATGATATTAACTTCATATTAACAAAACTTCAAAGAGCAATACATGTAAATTATTTCAAAATTCTTGTTAGAATATATTTCAAATGATAGGAGTATGCACCTTATAATGCCGAAAATGCTTAATTATACCTATATCAGCACTGAAATCCTTTGGCTACATGCATATTGGCTGAAAGCGTAAACAATTCGGCTATCTCAGTATTTACAATGAATAAAGGCATGCAAAGCTTCCTATCAGCGAGCCCCAGATCCTCATCAGTGCAAATAAAAATTTTATCATTTAGTTATAAAGAGTTTGTGTTTTTATCATAGACGCAGTTCCACCTACAGTGATACGCCTTACGTCGACTCCGGAAAATGTCGTATTTGGTGAATCAGTTGTGATAACGTGTGAAGCTATAGCCGTACCTTTACCAAGTTATACTATAATCCATAACGACACTGAAGTCGTCAGTACTCACAAGACATATATAATAACTGTTCTTGAATATAGTCATGCTGGGTCATATAAATGTATTGCAACAAGCGTACTTGGAAATAGTTCAAAGGAATTCAGTTTGTCTGTCGGAGGTAACTATAACATATACAATCTTTTCTATGATTGAATTATCTTTTAAAAAGTAATATACTGTAGTCTATCAAGCTGAAAATGTACTAGGCAAAAAGGGCAGATTCTTTCTTAACAATCTGATTTCATTTACAGTAACACGAACAACGAATGCTCCAACTACAAAAGATTTCGGACCAGGTAAGGTGGTTTTCTTTTCCTAACATGGTTCAGAAAGTATGATGTTTGTTTTCTTTTTAACTGACAAGAAACAAATTGTTTAGAAAATTGGTAAGTCCATATCGGTAACTGTATTCTTCTTAATTTTCAGGAAAAGCAGCTTCAGAAGAATGTAATTGCAGTGGAACTGTATGGTATATGGTTGTGGTAATATTGGTGTCTGGGATTATCATTGGAATTCTTCTTTCCTACATTGTCTCATGTTCTCGTCGTAAATTTAGAAGCAAGAAACTGAATTCAAATCCCGAACCAAAGACAACTGAAGTTGAAATAACTTATCAAGAGCTTGATCTTTCAAAAATGAACACAGAAGACAATTATCAATCATTGAGAGTTAATGCTGGAAATAATGAGGAGGAGTCAACTTATACTGAATTAAACCAAATCAGAGATGTGGAGGATAACTACCAATCTCTAACTTGAACCTGCAATAAATTATATTATGTCGTATATAGACTAAAACTCGATACCGAGGCCAGTCGCGGGCATATAGAGTTTTAGTCTATTTTGTTCTCTAGAGGTGTTTATTGATGGCCATGACTATAGATTCTTTTGTGAAACAAATTTAGGGCTATAGGGACTTTATTGATTTTCAAAGTGTGCAGTGCGTCTGCTTCATCTTGAAGGATATTGGCTCCCTGCTATACAGTTTGAAAAAATTAACGAGTCGGTCGAGCAAATTTTTAGCCAATTTTCTTGGCTGCTCTAACTGTGCTTATGGATATTGGATAGTCTATATACTAGAATGTGTAATTGCATATATTGCACATATTGCAATAATTACCAACTTATTGTCGCATGATAACTATAATTTTCAAAGAATACTGAAACTGGTACTTTGTTTTTACTTAGCGCAAAGATTTCACAAGTAGTATTGGTTGTACCCCACCGGTACCTTCCGATTAGTCACAAAAACAAAAGAATTCTGACGAATTTACAATTTCATATGTCTGATGGGTAATTTGATCATTTCAATTCTGTTTGAATACAATATTCATCCAGATTAATATTCATCCAGCAGTAAATCCTTTTTATTAATCAATCTTCGGTGTAAAAAATGTACATTTTATCATACAGTATTATTAAATGAAAAATGTTCAAACTGAGCTTTTCTTCACATTGATCAACATTTTATTACTTATTTATATAAACAATGCTTGTGGACTACAGTAATTAGGGTGTCAAAAAAGGTAATAGTTTAAGGATTTTTTCATATCAATAAAGATCAGATCTGTATAATCTTTTGTATTATTCGAACAAAAATGTCCAAATACGATTAAAAATTTCTAGTAAAAATCCCAGTTTCCCCCAAATTTTCCCTTTGTCTTTGTTTTAGACACTCTTCAGCCAAACAATTCCAAAGAGCGATTATCAATTGCGCAACATATCAACGAACTTCAACTCTTACAAGAAGGAAACCAGCCTCAAAAGCATCCCTTCTGAAATTCTTTTGCTGACAAGAAATTATGGTCTTGCTATTTTTTGTCAACTGACACATGCAATTCATTACCCTGGATTCCAGAGCCTTCGACAGTAAATAATAAATTGAAATGTCGCGAAGGCTCTGGTTCAACGGGGCGATTCTTTGATTAAACCGCGCCAATCACAAAACTGAATTAGTGGTTTTAGTACAGAGAATACTCAAAACGTGTATTATTATACATTGTAGTTGGTAAAAGCATTTTGATTGGCTAAGAGCTTACAGTTAAATCACGCAACCTACACAAAATTCAGTGATCTGCGCTAGCAGATAACTGAGTTATCTGCAAATGAGCCTACGATGATTAGCAAGCGGTATCTATTTAACGCAAACAATAGCATTCGTATAATAATTAATATAACAATTATTGAATTCGGTTTTTGCTTTTTACAAAATTATCAAGGTCTTGGTAAGCGTTATCAGCCCCGCCTTCGACTCGGCTGATAACGCTTACCTCGACCTTGATAATTCCGCATATCACAAAAACTTCATCCAAAAATTGTTAATTATTATACGAGTTCAGTTCGCGTTTTAGTGGAGAAAACCAAAGCAAACTTTTGTAAATTTTTCATCCAGTTTCACATCCAGATTCAACTAACATTTGGTCAATTTAACCTTGGCCTATGGCTATATTGGGCCCACAAATTTTCGGAACCAACTGTGTAATAGCTGTTGAATTATTCAGTTGCGACCACACGACACAAGCACACACAAACATGCACACAAGGAAATGAAAACGTACCTTCCTGGCGGAGGTAGAAAAAGTTTGAGTTTAAATAAATTCATCATAGATTTCAGGAATCTATCCACAGGCGGCGGCATGTCTTATTTGCACATCACTAAGCTTCAATATCAGCGTCGAAGCCGGAAGAACTTAAGGTTGCATCCTGATGTTTCGCGCTCCGGAATAAATTACTCCCTGATCTTTATGTCAATCGCAACCCTTTTCTTAACTCTGTTACAAACAGCACGCCAAATATAGGCTATACCGTTTTGTGGCCAATTTTACAGGAATACCAACCTATATAGACTTTGAAAACTTATACACAGACTGCAGGTATAGTGTATCACATATTTGCATATCAAACTTCAAGTAGTATCGAAACCGGAAGATTGAAGAAGAACTTTACACCATCCAAACAACACACCTATAGCATAGCATTTGGTGGCCAATTTTACAGGGATGCTACTTTCAGCAGGTTAGGTGTGTGTATAATATTTGTTATAATAGTGTATATCTATTAGAGTTTATCAGATATATTTACACCTACACTCTCGTTTAAGTTAATAAATGTAATCCTAACACTCGAAATATGTCATGAATGAAATTTGTTCAGGAATGACATTCGTTTGCTTAATCAAAGTAGCGCCGAAACATTTTGCAGCGTATAAATTGATGTCGATGGCATCTTGCAAGATACGTGCACATCAATGTACACAATCTTTCATTTTACATAAATTGTTTAAATACATATGAAAGATTTGTGTATCCTTATTCGATGGGCCTGAATATTAGTGCTACCAACAAAATAGCTGGTACGTTAAATCAGGCTTACACTCAGGTCTGTTTGAAAATTCGAATGTTTCATGCACTGCAACAAAGAATTGTGGTCATCCGGTTCGACACGTGGAAAGTTCGACATCTGAAACAGCTAGGCTTGTGATCACAGTGGCTGAGCAAATTGTTTTGACCCGAAGCGTTCTTTGTCTTTGATGAAAGAGAGTACCATATTGTAAACTAGTCTTTATAGAGTAGGTCCCTTCCCACCTCTTCTAAATTAGAATAGTGTCGACTTCATTCTTTGCTTTCTTATGAATTTTATTCTTATGTATAATGTTTAGATCAGGGACATAGCGAAACTCTGGTAAAAATCAGGTAAAATTCAAGTTTAAATTTTGTGATTTTTAGGAAAAGTTAAAAAGTCGTTATTTTTGTGAAATGATAACCATTTTTGTAAAGTACAGTCAATTTAGATCCAATTCGTTTGCGAATTTGCTTGAGAAAACGCCGCAGAAATGCTGTCCTGGACTGCAGAAATGCAGTCCTTGAGCTTCAAAAATGTAAACATTTTCTGGAGGAGGACCCCCAGACCCCCTCCTTCTTCAGGAACTTAGTATGACAGTGGAAATCAATCGAAAATATTTTCTATACATTATAATTCATACATTTCAGGTAATAATTCACATCGTGCAATAATTACCAGTTTATTTCATGGTTATCCTGTTCACCAGGTATGATTTTCAAAGAATAAACTGGCACTTGGTTTTTACTTTGCGCAAAGCCAAAGGTCTCACAGGTAGTATGTACCCCACCGGTACATTGCAACTACCATATATCAGGTCACAAAAAACAAAAGAATATGGTTGGACGAATTGATAATTTCATGTATGATAGGGTAAATCCATAATTTCAGTTTCGTTTTGGAATGTACAACCTTGAATATAGTGGTAATCCAGATTGAACCAAGATTTGATCGATTTATCCTTGGCCTATAGCCATTTGTTCATCGCACTTTTTCGTATTAAATTGGTTGATCCATTTTCAGCTGCATGCGAACACACGCAAACATGCATATAAAGCCACAAACAAACCGAAGCCAAACCATACCTTCCTGCAGACGGAGGTAACAAAGTGTGTAAAGTAAACTATCAACTGAAGTTATCTGGAATAATGAATTAATCATACACTTCAGTCCACAGAAGGCAGTAAGTGTGCCTATTTTTGCATATCAAGCTTCGATCAGTGTCGAAGCCGGAAGAACGTAACACCATATAAAACAACACACCATGCATATTATAGCGTTTGGTGGCCAATTTTACAGGAGAATACTACAATAATAATAAACTTGGTATGTAACTACGTCATATTCGTTACAATGGACTATTGATGTTTTTCGTATGTAACCTGCTTCGTACCCAGGCGCTTTGGTTTGTTTACGTCATTAAGCGCACGTGGGACGGCACGTGAGGGAGAAAAACGGAAAATTTGTTGGGCCCACGCAAAGGCCACGCAAGCCATAGAACAACACATAGTGCCTGGGTACGAGGCAGGTATGAAACCATATGCATTAAATTTCATTGCAACCAGATATAATATCGACATGCTTCACTACTCTACTGTCTCTGATTTATGTATTACTAAATTCATTTCTTTAATTACACTACAATATCTGCATCTTACAAGATACATCCATGCAATTTAGAGCAGGTCAAAAAATTCTCTCGTAGTTTTTGCACGTGATCACAGTAGGAGATTTGCTCGGATGTGCAACCATCCATGCTGGAATTGTATAACAAATATTTCGCAGTCAAAATTACTGGCGTTATATTTCGTTGTCGTTGAGTGACGAAATCAAATGAACATGTACTGTTGTACATATAAATAAGAGTTTGATACGCAGTTGGCGACCACGTTACAAATTATAGTTTCGGAAATCCAGAACGTCTTTTGATTTAAAACCGGAAGAATTAACTCATCATGACAAACATCAAACAAGGAAATCATTCTCTCTGCTTCTTGATTTTGGTCAAATTTGAAGAATAGTACAGCAGTATAATATTGTAAAAGCATTACAGGGATATTTGTTACAATATTGTTCGTATGAAACCATAATTATGTAGATTGAAGTAGGCGGTATAATATCAGTTTGAGGTTCCTTACTCTTTCTCATATTTGTGTACTAAGTGAATATAGCAGACTAAGTGAATATGTAATCCCTCAATAAAGTAAATTTACGACGTCTTGACACTGCATGCAGTTACCATCTGGGACAGTGACTTGTGAATTTAGATACTAAAGTTCTCAAAGCGTTTCAACGCATCTGAAATCGTGAATGGAATTTGCCGTTCAGAAATTATATTTATATTCCCTTACAAAAAACACGAGTAGGGAAAATTTGCAGCATTTCTTTAGAAAGAAATTATATAGCTGCCGCTTATTTAATATTTATTTAGTAATAATTTAATATGTATAGGTTTTTATGGTTTAGAGTGCATTTGGGAAAAACATGCACGAGTGAGTTTTTCAAAGACGACAAACCATACTACTACTCTTTACTAATAATATACAAGAAAAAAATCTGCAGAAGCAAATCCGTGGTCACGTGCATGCATGAAACACATTAATCGCTCCTTTGAATGATATAACAACTTAATACA